CCCCGCCGCCCCCGGTGGGCAGAGGCGGGGAGCTGCGCGTCCGTCCGCCCCGCTGTCCGGGCTGCGGGGGGCTCCGGAGGGTGACCCTCAGGTCACAGGCCCTAAGCCGGGTGGGAGGTTTTTCCTTTAAGGCCCACGTTTTCTTTGGGAGCTTCCGAGTCTGAAACACAAGGGGGTTCGCATCTCGTTCAGGCGGTAGGCGCTCTCCCGCTGCCTAGAATCCCAGGAGGAGTGGGTGTGGGTGGATAGCTCTGTTGGGATAACAACACTGAAGGATTTATAATAATAAGACCCATTTCCAAAGACACTTAACACCTGCTTGTGCAGTTGAATCCAAGGAGACTGTGGGCGACTTCACAAGAAACTAATTTTGTTCTCCTCCCGACTGGATAGGTTTCGTTCTTAAACAAGGTTAGTTCTTAAAACCACAGTCAAGGGCGGTAGGGGAAGCCAGTTCTTCCCGAGTGGGCCATTTTCTTCACAGAAGTTCTAGACTTATCAATAAGACATCGTTTTATAAGTGCCGGCATTTCAGTAGAGGTTGGCAAAAACATGAGCCAGTCACCATTTCCCAAATTCCTCAACTTTTAGCTTTACTGTTTATTTAACAACCTTTACCATTTATAGAAGACTCTAGGCCCGGAGGACAGGGAGGAACGGGACTCTGTTCCCCTGAGCACAAGTGAATTATGTGGGGAAGAAGCTGCCAGAGGTGTGGCTCACTGTCCCTTTACAACTGAGAAAGACCTGTTCTCAGTGTCACCTCTTGGGGCCCCAGGAAATAATTATTTCATATCCCGACCAGCTGGGAGCCCTAAAACAGTGAAAAATATCACATAGCAAATGGGATAATATTCTCTTTTTAACTCTCCCAATTTTTTCCTCCCTCCCCCCCCCTCCATTTTTCCCAACAATTTAACGTCTCACATCCAAAACAACAATAATATGAAAGATGCAGCCCTAGAGATGAAAAACAAGGGGCCTGGACAGAAAAAAAGAGAGAATTAAAACCCCTGTAGCCACTCAGAACTAAGGAAGAAGAAACCGGAAGGGCTCCAGAAAACATAACGTCAAAAAGTCTCTCTCCGAGGCTCTCGCTTTTTCCTGGCTTTTCCCACCCACCCTCCCTCAAAACTTAAACCTGCCAACGGGATGGAAACAACCAATCAAACAAACCCAGGCCGCACAGGAAAAAAAATCAACCACCAATTCCAAAGTCTGGTTGTGGGACTTGCCAAGGGTACCCACTCCTGTTTGGCACTGCCCCCACCACCTTTTGGTAGCCAGCAGGGAAAGACCATTTCAGGTTAAAATTCCTCCCAGAAGGACAGACAGCAGCCGGGGAAACAAGCCGGCTTCAGGGCCACTGTCATCTCAGCTTTGCCTCCTTGTCTATTTATTTTCCTGAGAAAAAGCACCGATCTACATTCTAAACGATGCCCAGCTCACAGAGCCACCACCCCCTCCCTCACCGCACACCCCATCTGTGGCTAAGCAGCCCCCTGGAGGAACCAGAAGTCATTCGGGTCCCTTTTAGGGGTCAGGTCCACAGAGCACAGTTAGTGACTGTAAGCCATGGACTCCAGGCAAGAGAAAGATGGAGGCTCTGTTGAGAGGGAATACGGTATGAAACCCTACTGAGCTGTTGAAGCCAGGGTGGAGGCCGAAAGTGTCTCCCGACTGCCCATTGAAACACTTTATGTCTAGAAGCATAGCCTCAGACTTTTCCTTTAGAAAAGCTTTTTTTTTTGAGATATAATTGACGTCTGACATTGTGCGAAAGCATTTCCGTGTGGTTTTCTTCTTCTTCCGCTTCCTCCACGTCCCAGCCCTGACGCACTGGTTAGTCCCAGGCTCAGGGAGTTTGCGTTTTTCACTGGTCAGAAAATAAGAAAATTCCCAAGGCTCCCTCTTAGTTCCCTGTGAAGACATTATGTGAATAAGCCTCTGAAAATATTCTTAGAGGATAAGATTTTCCCCATAGCATGGGTCTCTTGTTTTCAATTTGAAAATATAGGAATAAGATAAATAATTGGATGATTTTTAATTTAAAACGTTCCCAGGAGTTGGATTGTTATTGTAAAAGAAGAAAAGGTAAAAATGCTCTATGTGCTGCCCTAAATCAAGGAGAAATACAGACAAAACATTTTATAGGACTCCTATACGATGTACGTACCTACATTTAGAACTGGTTTCAGTTTCTTGGGGGCACTTAGAATAGAGTTGTTTGGTGGTCAGTTTCACATAGCAGATTCAAGTAGTTTCTCTTTTTTTAAGGGATGCAAGATAATTGGGATAATTACGAAAGTCACCCTGTATTCCATCAAAGTGACTGGTGGAGTCCCAGGCCCTTATCAGCTGTGGGGGAAATGTTTGGTTCCTGGTAGTGGTATTCCCGCCTCCTGGTGGATGGCAAAGCCTCCTTCGTACTTTAATGTGCCTGCTAGCCTGGGTTTCGGGTTGGTTTCCTCAATTCTAACACCTTTTTTGTCCAGAAATGGCCCAGAGCACACACTCCTGTGATTTAACCAGCGAAATGCTAGCCTTTCATAAGATGTCAGGCTGGGAGGGACATCCTGCAAATGCTCTCATCCAGTGGTTCTCAACCTTCTAGCCCTTTAAATACAGTTCCTCATGTTGTGACCCAACCATAAAATTATTCTCGTTGCTACTTCATAACTGTCATGTTGCTTCTGTTATGAATCGTCATGTAAATATCTGATATCAGGATGGTCTTAGGCGACCCCTGTGAAAGGGTCATTCCACCTCCAAAGGGGTCACGACTCACAGGTTGAGAGCCGTTGCTCTAATCTAACATGCTGAGGCCTATATGAGCCAGGCAGAGAAGTGAAATGACTTAATTTTTTATTTTTAACCGCCTCTCCACTCCCACCCACGTTTCCTTCTTCTATGGAGAGGGGGCTTTGAGAGGAAGGGGCTCATCTCTACACTCCCTGGTTCTCCCTGGACGGAAGTCTCTCTCAGTTGTCCAAGGGGCAGCCCTGGCACCAGCTCCCACAGGCTGTGAAGTCTAGGACTTGGGAGGGATGCAAACAGGAACCCTTGCTTTTTATCCTTCGTGGTCACCCCTTTCCGGCCCTCACATGTCTATCCTCCGGTGTGGGCTTGAGTCGTGGTGGATGCCTCTGGAACTCACTCACTTGGTCCAGTGAGCAAGCAGAGGGCGCGCCACTCCACGGAGCCGGAGCCGCATGCTTGGTTTGTATCAGGTGGGTTCTCAGCGGACTTCCTGGAGTTTCTGAGCTTAACTTTTCCAAGGTCAAACCTGGGTCTCTGTTTCAGTCGTGTGGCTCTCCTTCCTGCATCTTTGCTCACAGCATTAGCTGTCACAGTCCTTTCTCTTGCAGAACAATTTGTGGAGAAGTCATCCTGCACCCAGCCCCTGGGCGAACTCACCAGCCTGGATGCTCACGGGGAGTTTGGTGGCAGCGGAGGCGGCGGCAGCCCGGCGTCCTCCTCACTGTGCACTGAGCCGCTGATCCCCACCACCCCTATCATCCCCAGCGAGGAAATGGCTAAAATCGCCTGCAGCCTGGAGACCAAGGAGCTCTGGGACAAATTCCACGAGCTGGGCACAGAGATGATCATCACCAAGTCTGGCAGGTAGCGGGCCTTGGCGGGGAGGAGCGGGTGGGGAGTGCTCCCTGGGCGGCTTGGGGGCGTTTCCAGGAGCTGGGTGAATCCCTGCGGGTTCGGGTTCGGAGCGCAGAGAGGAAGCTGCTTCGCTCAGGGAGGGCTTCTTCCCGCAGACTTACAGTGGGAAGTGCTCAGAGAATCCCAGGCTTTTGCTTTCTCAAGATCTGGCCGTGGGAAACCGCACCTCGGTCTGGATGAGAAGGGCACAGGGGCCAGGAATGTCTGCCCCCCGCAGCCCGGGAGGGTTTGGGGTGCAGGCTTGGCATCTGGAGGGAGTCCAGGGTGCAGGGGGGCGACTGGGTGCTGCAAGGGAGGCAGGTAGCTTCCTTTATCTGGGCCTCAATCCTCAGAAGCCTCCAGTTCCCACTGAAGGTAAAGTAAAAGCTGGGGGCAGAATGAGGTTTCTAAGGATGGCACCCTGGGGAGGAGGGGCGCTGGCTGCAAGGCCCTTGGCGCCTCTGCCGGGCAGGCTCTGGGCGGGCGGGAAGCCAGGCTCTGGAGGTCCGTGTCCTGGGCTCCAGCTCTCAGGACGCTGGGAAATACAGGCAAGGTCCCCCAAGCCCAAGCTGAGACTCCTGCTCTGCTCTCTGTGGCAGGAGAAAGGACTTAAAAAGATGGCTTCCCATCAACACTAAATATACTGCTGACCCGAGTTTCAGGGCTGGATCGCCCCGGAGACCCTGGGTCAGAGCCCAATGGGCTTGCTGAAAAGCTGGGCTTTTCCGTAATCGCAGACCTTGTGCATCCAAAACGAAACGGGACACAACTTTCCCAGCCATGAGACGCCTGTAAAAGTACCTAGCACGTTGGTCTCCAAATTCACGTCTCTGGCTTTACAGGAAGCAGAAAGGGTTTGGGGGCCTCTGGGAGTTGGGGGGGGGGCGGTCTTCCCTTCCCTTCCCTCTAACTCAGGGGCTCTTCGGGCTGTGCGAGCTCAGGCCGTCCTCTCTGTCTCCCTGTGTCAGGAGGATGTTCCCTACTATCCGCGTGTCGTTTTCCGGCGTGGATCCTGAGGCCAAGTACATAGTCCTGATGGACATCGTGCCCGTGGACAACAAGAGGTACCGCTACGCCTACCACCGCTCCTCCTGGCTGGTGGCAGGCAAGGCGGACCCACCGCTGCCGGCCAGGTTTGTGCCTCCAGACGTTTGCCTGTGAACCCTGCCAGCAGAGTGCCCCTGCCCTGGCGGTTTGAATGTTAAGCAGGTCTGTTTTTAAAGCTCTAAGCTCTGGTAGGATTCCCAACACAGACACTCTGGGATCAACTATACAGAATACCAGCCAGTCTCTGAGAAAGGCAGGGTGTGTGCCTTTTCCTCTTAATTCATGTCAGAGTTTCCTCAAGTGGCAGTTGGAGTATTTGTTAGAAATCTGGGCCCACTTCATATGCCACTCATCATTTCTAGTAGGAAGTGACTGCCCTAAAATCCTGTTTTTAACCCCTAGAGTGCAGGGGAGCACGATCACGCTCCTCCTGTCTTTCACCGAAAGTGCCGGGAGCGCTTTCAAAGCTTCGGAATGGCGTCCAGTTCTAAGTCTGCTTTTATTAGTGATGATGATATTGCTAAATATGTCAATCTAGTAAAGGTTTCCTTAAGTTTTTGAATATGTAACTTCATCTACTTGCAATTCATAATTTTTCCCTAAACTGATGTAAAATCAAAAATGCCTTGGCAATTTTAGCATAGCTCCTAGGATATTGGTTGGCACTTAAAGGGTTAAAAAGTGCATTTTTGGAAAAGTGGTTACTTATAGTAAATATTTGTTCACAATACAGTTATATCTGCACATAAGAAATATCATTCTGGTAAAATGTGGTTGTTTTTGTCCAGAAAGGGCTCAGAGATTTTAAGTTGAAAATTTAAGTGGATGAATGTAATTCAACATCAGGTTAGCTTTTTTTTTTTACATGAAACATTACTCAATTGGGATATTAGGGATCATACATGTTTACTTTGTGCTTTCATTGGTAATAATGTTTTCCCAGTAGAACCCTGTTGAAAATATCACACAGATAAACCGTTATTATTGCTGCTTTGCCCAATTGATCTTAGGGGGGTTGGGCAGGGAGGTGGGACCTCCTGTTCACATACTTGCTTCTGTGAACAATTAACAGCTATAGCGATAGGCTGCGTAGTGATAGGCTTAATACAAAGGATACCAGCTGACTTGCACTCATGGTTCTAAAACCAAGGCTCACAGCTTTGAAGTTGTTTTAGGGCTAATGTATAGAATTGACTGAAAGTTCCTATCAGAGCTGAAACTTTATTTCAATGGGAAGATTTGGAACATTGAAGGTCCCGCTGCTTCTTTGTAAGTGTGTAGTCTGGAGTCTTAGTCAAGGCACAGAACCTGCACAGACCATTTCCACACACGGTTCGCACGGAACATTAGCTTCCTTGGCAGCTGATGCCATTACTGAGCCCACAGTGTGCTGGGCTCCCGGGAGGAGAGACCAGAGGAGCCCCCCAGAGCTTCCCACGCCCACGGAGACCAGGGAGGACAGTCCCAACCCTTCCAGGTCAGCACGTTAAAAACAGATTATGTGACTAAAGACATTTTAAAAAATGCTTACTCATTTTTTAAACAGTTTACAATAGATATTAAAATGAACATAATTAGTATTCACTACTACTTACTACTAAATAGCAGATACACATTACTTTGAAGCTTTTAAAGGAGAGAGAGATTTTAGCAGATTCCTAACCATTTTTACAAGCAAATCTTTTTTTTCCCCCCTTCAAAGTCTTTCCTCTGAGAAGTTAATCACTCTGACTTAGCATACGTTTTCTTCCTATCTGAAGGTAAGGGGAGCTGTGCAGGCCAGCAGGACTTTGAGGACTAGGACATGCCTTGTTTATGTTACTAATCTGCTCTGGTTGAAGGAGGAAAGCATGTACCAATACCCTATCTTCACTGAAGCATGTGTAAGCTATTGCTGGAATTTTAAGTCCCGGGGACCTTGAGAGAAGAGGGGCTTCCTGTATGTTTTTTCATTCATCTTAGTTCAGTTTATTTATGTTGAGATCAGATAAAACTATTTAGTGCAGAAATATTCAGTAGGATAGAAGTAGGATGGGATAGAAACATTCGAGGTAATTTAAGCAACTATTCTTTATTATTTACAAAAAGAAATAGTGCTGTCTTTTCTAGCTCCATAGAGGAAAAGGAGGGGAACTTGGGAGGGTGGTCATTTTCATACCGACGCTGGAAATTCCTTGTGGTTTTGTTCTTGGACCCGTTTTATTTGAGACTGAACTTCATCCGTCAGTTGTTCCTGATCAGAAGAAGTACTGCTTGACAGTGTCCTTTGACCATAACAACGGGCAAGGCTTAACCGAGATCTAACATGGCTCTGTTTTCGCGCGAGCGTTCCCTCTTCTGTAAAGTAATGGAGGTTTGGTGTGCTAAGCTTTGCTGATATGACTGCATTTGGCGAATTGATATCGAAGAGAGAACAGTTCAGCAGCTTCTGGGACCAGGCATGTTCTGGAGCCGTCTTTTTGGCAGGGCGGCTGGGGGGGGGGAGGGGGCTGGCCAGTAAAACTGCTGCACTGTAAAGGTATAGCTTTGGAGGGTGACACTTGACGGTTGTGTCGTCAAAGAATTCTTCAACTGAAAGGCAGTTTTGAGCACTCCGCCTAAAAAGAGCAATGGAACAAGCAGGCAGGCCAGCGGACACCTACATGCAGCCTTCCCGGCTCTTGCCCGGGTCCAGGAGGAATCCTTACTTACCGCCCTCAGCATTTCCTGGGCTTTGCTTGGGGGGTGGGGGGGGCTTTGTTTCCGCATGTGCCCCCAGTGCTTTTATTCTGCATCCCCTTCTGTGACAGACCAGGACACCGACTTCTTGTTCTTCACGTGAACACCGCAAGGAAAGGTTTTGTGACCTTTTCCCTGGCCTTCGCCCCAAACGTAATGTTTATGTTTAGCTATAGTTACACTCACTTATCCTATGGACAATTGATATACAAGCAACCTGTTACCGCCAGGAAGGAATCTGTCCTGTTGAATTGAGCACATCTCCTTCCCCTCTCGTTGGTTCTGCAATCTCCCCGACTTCAGAAAAGCTTATGTCCAGTGGATGCCGTGGTTGGGATTTACAAAGAGCTGTGCTCAGTGGGACCTTTAGAGGTAGAACACATGCTCTGCATTTAACTGTGGAAGATTGCACGTAGCAGCTGATCAATAGATGATAAATGCCTGATAAATACTTTTTTTTTTTTTTTGCTTAGGCTGTTTACAAATGAATACACTGAATAATTTGAAGCATTCCCAGCTTGTTTTCATTCTCATCACTGAACAATGTTATGCAGTGTGGACTGTGAAAAGTTCCCAGGTCCCTGTATTAAAGTTACTCTGCCTTGTATTTAGAAAGAATATAAACTTTAAATTCAGTCACCTTCAATTTTAAATGATTGCAGTCTCTAGAATTCTTTTTTTTAAAAAATTCTTTGTTTTCATTGATTTTTAGCAATACTCATCCTGGGAACTTATTATACAATTAGGATAGCCTACTCTTTCTTTTGAAAATACCTGTACCATTAGATCTCATATTTTACAGAAGTAGCCCAGTAACAGATAGATAGGAAAAACCCCACCTTTAAAAATGGCTTGCTCAACAGATGATAGAAAATTTATTAAGTGTTACCCCTTTTAGAGCATTGTACATGAAGAAACACATTTAGAGGTTTTAGAGTTATTTTGGTATTGCTATATTATTAAATCTGACATTATGCGGGGTAAATAAAATTCACCATTTATACAGGGGTTTTGTGTTCCTTTGGAATCAGAATATTTTATAACCCACAGAGAGCAGGATTTTTAAAAACTGCCTCAATGGAATCTCTCATCATTTTCTCAGGCTGTATGTCCACCCAGACTCCCCTTTTACTGGTGAGCAGCTACTCAAACAGATGGTGTCCTTTGAAAAGGTGAAGCTCACCAACAATGAACTGGATCAACATGGCCATGTAAGTACGAGGACGCCTGGGACTGTGTAGATTCCCCAGGACCCAGGACAGGAAGGGAAGGGGATGGAGAAGTCACACAAAACTTCCTCCCTCTAATCTCCGCCTGGCCCTTTGCCCCTCCCACCCTCTCACTGTGAATCCTCCCAGCGGTTCTCAACCTGTGGGTCTCGACCATCGGAAAACACATATAGCATATCAGATATTTACATTACGATTCATAACAGTATCAAAATTACAGTTATGAAGTAGCAACGGAAATAATTTTATGGTTGAGGGTCACCACGACATGAGGAACTGTATTAAAGGGTCGCAGCATTAGGAAGGCTGAGAACCGCTGCTCTAAGAGAACCTCCAAGTATTCATCTTGTCGGAGGCCATTGTTATGCACGGGGGCGGGGCCTTTAGCACCCTGGATTTCCCAAGACTTTAGCAACTGCTTTCTGCCTTTGCCAATTAAACAAAGAGAACATGCATGTTATAGGCTACTACAGCCCCTTCTTGGGTTATACGTCTGAGTTCTGTCAGTGGTATGTCAGATAATGCAGCATAAAAGGAATGGGGCTGAGACACCCCCTCGCCCCCTACCCCCACCACATGCTCCCTCCCCCCCCCCCACTTGGGGGTTGCCCAAAGGGCGTTCCATTGAGCACATTCACCTGAGATGCAGTAAGGTTTATGTCCAGATAAGTTGGAAACCTGTTCACCTGCTTCCAAACTCTGGACAGCACCACCAGCAGAGTTATGAATTAACCCCGTTACTCTGACTGGGTCTCGGTAAACAAGGCCCGCTGGGGCAAATGGATGTTGGCAACGCCAGAAGCAATTTATTTGATTTCAGGTCCAAGCCAACCATTTGAAATGATGTCTAAAGAAGTTTGGGAAAGTGCTTTTTACTCATTCTATATCCCCTGTGTAGAGAGTCTTATGAATATGGAAGCACAGAGAAGTCTTGCGATTAAAAACAGAACAGTTTGATGATTTGGGGCCAATGAAGGAGTTCATCGAAATGTGGAAAAGGAGCTACTGGAATGCTGAGCTCTTAGCAGTAGTTAATAGAACAAACACCACTGAACAGGCCTTTGCACGTCTTTTTAAGGAACCATCTGTGATGTTACTCTGTGCTCTTAAATAACGAGCACTTCCTATCTGCTGTGTGATTTACAAGGGTCACATCCTCTAATCCCCACCACACCCTATGGGGTTAATACTGGTTTTGTATTTGCAATGAGGTTGACGAGGTGAGATCACTGGCTCCAAGATTAAAGAGCTAGAAAGTGGCAGATTCACTATTCTAACCCAGGTCTGTCTAATATCACACCCCCCATTAATAACAATCTGTCCTCCTAGCATATATAATTTCTTACTTTGGAAGATGTAGACATATCTCCTTTGATCTAACCAGACTAACACACACAAAAAAAATATTTTAAAGATTTGATTTAAAAACAAATGTATTCTCTACATGACTTTCCCCCATCATTTTAGAAAAGATACTTGAAACGACCTATATTCTCTGCGGTTGGTTTGATAAAATGTGATTTACAAGGATGACTCTGCAGTATCCTGTGAAAATGATTTGCTTTAGGAATGGAACAGGGTAGATCCTACTCTTAACACTGAATTTGAAACTCTAGACAATGGTTCTGTGTCTGCCTCATTGCAGTTCGGGCTGTTTGGCAATATGAACACCCACATTCAGTGTTCCCCATGTCTTTGTTGTAGATCATTTTGAACTCGATGCATAAGTACCAGCCTCGGGTGCACATCATTAAGAAGAAAGACCACACGGCCTCGCTGCTCAATCTGAAGTCTGAAGAATTCAGGACGTTCATCTTCCCAGAGACAGTTTTTACGGCAGTCACTGCCTACCAGAATCAACTGGTGAGTGCTCCGTTCACAGTTCATCTCCTGAATAAGTTCATCTCCTGAATAAGATAAGGACTCAGGAGGTTCTTTCATTTTCGTGGGGAGAACAAGGATCCCAGTACTTGAATCAGTTCTCTTTGGAGAGCGCTATTGAGTATCAGCCAGGGCCTCTCCGTGTGTTGAGTGAGCCACGCTCAAGGTTATGAAGGTCCCGTATTGCACCATCTTTTCTAGAATCTGTGTACTCTTGGTTAGGTTGTTCACTGCCCACTCTCCGATCCAACCTGCCCCTATCTGGCTTTTCAAATTTTCTTCTCGAGAAATTACCTGCTTCCTTTTCCTCTTCCTGATAAAGCCTCCTAAGATAAATAACCATACACTCATCGATTGCCCCATAAAATATAGACATTCCATTTTTTTGTGTGCTAAATTAGCACACATATTCTAGCCAACTGCCCACACTACTGATACTTTAGACACTTTCTGAGGCTTATTCAGCTGTAATTTACGGTGTAATTTAGACATTTATTATCCAAATGTCTCTTTAGATAATAAACTGTAGCAGGCAAGCAGTGTGTATTTAATTAACATCAAGGTATTTAATTTATAATATTGAGTTACCTATTGTCTACTCTCTATTATACCTCACATTTGAAATGTATGCATTTTTCATCCATATGGGTTAGTTTAATTCAGTAAATATTTATCAAAGTCTTAGTAGGAACTGGGTGCTGTTGGACACTTCCCCATATATTTTCTTCTCTCGCGGTGAGCATCATCTTGCAGACTGGGGGTAATAGTGACATTCTGTAGTGAGGAAGCCAAGGCTGAGAGAAGATGAGAAGGTCTCCCGCAGCCGGAGAGACCAGCTGGGATTCCATGTGCTTCAGGAGGAGGAACCCACACTGTCAGGTTACTTGACAAATTCGGGGGTGTGCACCTCACTAGGACTTTGCACCTTGCTTTCATTTGAATGGTTACGGGTCACCAGGTCTACGGCTCTGCTCCTGTCTTGATGTTATATGTTGGGTTCCGAGTGAATGACTGTTAGAGTGGGATGGCCCATCAGAGAAGACAGGGTCTTGGGTTTCTTGGGAAAAGCGAAAAGAAGCTGAGCCCCAGCCAGTGTGGCTCAGTGCAAAGAACGTTGGCTTGTGGACTGAAGGGTCCAGTTCCAGTTCCAGTCCAGGGCATGTGCCCGGGTTGCCTGCTTGATGCCCAGTAGGGGGTGTGCAAGAGGCAGCCGATCAATGATTCTCTGTCATCACTGATGTTTCTATCTCTCTCCCTCTCTGAAATCAATAATAATAATAATAATAAAGACCAAACTGAAAGCCCAGATAGCCCTACTTAAATAAGGAATTGAGAGCCCAGAGCAAGGATGTGGGCCGATGGCTGAGAGGAGGTGTGACTGTAAGGTGTGAGCACCTGTAATTCCTGTACAACTTTGAGGAGGTTTCATGTCACCACTATGGCTGCTGTTTTTCTTACCTGTGACTGGGGCTAAGGACCGTGCAGACCATCTTAGGAAGTCCTGTGTGTGAGTAAATGTTAGCAGGACCTCTCAAACCAAGGTTCATGGGACTAGGAGGTTATTGTTTACATCATGATAACAGCTAATATTTGGGTACTTACTGTGTGCAAGGCACCATTTAAAGTGCGTTGTTTTATTTAATCCCCACAGTGGTTTTATGTGATGGGAACAACAGTATTTTTGTGTCACCTTCTAGGGAAAGCAGAGGACGGAGTTAAATAGCTCCCCCAGGTGACCTTCCCGCACTCCGCTCTGTTTGAATCTAGGTGTTGAGTGCAACAGTCAGGGTCCTTATCTCTAAGCTTCAGGTACCTGGTGTCTGTCCTCTTGGCTTGTGACTCCGACGGACCCCGAGACATCCTTTTTAGAGGGTTTCACCTCTTTATGATCTTTTTTTGTTTGTTTTCAACAAGTGCTCACTGCTTACCTGCCAGTGTAATGAGATGACAGTGATCTGAAATAGAATGGCCACTAGCACTGGCTGCATCTGGTAGAAGCCATGTTTGTTAGAAAATGTCAAAAATGTGAAAGTTAAACAAATGGTAAAATGAACCTCACGTATGCCACCCAGATTCAAAAATTAACATTTTTGTCACTTTGCCGCCTCCTCCCCATTTCTATCTCTGTATGTATCCATACTTCCTGTTCATTTAATCATTTGATACTAAATTGCATGCATCATGATACTTTACCTGAAAATACTCCCACAAATACCTACTGATATGAGAATATTATTTTTGTAACCATAATATCTTTATCATAGCTAAGAAAATTATTAAGAATTATTCCTTAATATCGTCTAAAATTCAGTTAGTATTACAGTTTTCAGGATGGATCAACAAATGTCTTTTATAACCCCCTTCCCCTCTCTGAACTAGATAGAATCCAACTAAAGTTTGGATTTATTACTTTTAATTTAGAGAAACCTCTCTGCATTTTTCCTCAGTATCTCATTTAATTCTGACACCCCTGAAGAAGGCCCCCCTGAGCCCCACTCTTTAGATGGAAAGACAGGTTCAGGGCAGTTAATACACCTGCCCAAGGTCACAAATCTGGATCTTCCTTCCTCCTTTTCGGTGGCATCATGCCAGATTGCAGGCCAAGGACATTACCACTGACAGTGTCAAGGTTTGGAAACTGAGTTTGAAAATGTTACCCAAGGAAAATAGTCGGTTTATTTCTATGCATCTCCCTTTACCTGATTCCTAGCACAGTGCCAAATATATATTTGAAATTCAAGTAATGGTCAAAGATTTGATTTTCAAGCCAGTTTGAACGGTTTATAAACCTCATAAAACCAATCAAAATCCATGTTTAATAAACATATATGTGGTGAATAAATCAGTTTGAGGGTTAGTATTTTCTTTAGTCCTGTACAATTTTCTGAAGTTATCCTTGATGCTTTCTAGGCCTCCCACCCCTGCCTTTTCATTATTATGTCCTGTTTGTGTACTCGCTTTCCTGAAATAAATATAGGGTGTCCCCAAAATGTATACACACACTTTGAATAATTATACAGACAGAGTTTATTAACATACATTTCATTTTCAAAATTGAGCTACCAGCTGTTAAAGTGTGTATATATTTTGGGGACACCCTGTATATAGGAGATACAATAAATATTTACTGAGGATAGTAGAAATATTACAAGTTTTCTATGCACAAAAAAACAAGAGAGAAGAAGAAAATTTAAAAGTTCGCATTCAGGATCACCTTCATATGTCTTAACCTTTAGATAGGAATGGTATTTTCACATCTATTAAAAGCCAAATCAGAGTTTTCCAATTTGCAAAAAAAGCATCTCATTTATTATGGCTGGTGGTTTTATTTATGAGTAATGGAAAATGGGACTTTTACAAATTATCATTTTTTGCCTCTGGTTTTGGCGAGGAAATGATCACATTTGTCTACATTATTAGATAAAAGCTAAACACATTATACTTTCAACAAACTATTTTATAATTTAAGATTTAAAGGTCATACATTGTTTGGAGAGCGGCAGACCACTGCCGTCGGGTTGAAGTGTAGGTCAGGTTTCATTTTTAAATGCCTTGGGACAGATCTTTCCCTGATAATTGGAGAAATGGTCTCTTAGGGCCAATTTCACCTCGCGCCTGGGAACCAGAGGAGGCCAGTGATGTCACGTGGGCCGTCAGCCCCGGGAAGGACCCCTTCCCTTTGGCACGGCTGGCAGTCAAACTCTGCCCTCCCGTCATGCTTATGTTTGTCTGCAGATAAGGGGGTGCTGAAAGAGTGGGTGTTTTGTTAGGACATGCATTGTGTTCTGTTATTAAGGTCATATGTGGAAAAGGGCATATGTTTTGACCTGAATTAGTTGGTGATTTGCATAGAGGTGCATGTACACTTAACTACGGGGTTTCTTCAGCACAATGTGCTGTCCTTACTTGTTAATGCCTTTTCCGCACACCCAATATAAGGTATTGCTGCTTTTTAAATTTGTTTTTGAATTATAAGCCATACCTGTGGTTTGGCTAATCAAGACTCTACCTACTATGTTCACTGGTTGACTAGTTTTGGGTCCTTACCTTTGACACGGGTGACACTGTTCAACGGTGTTGCAGGCTGCAGGTGTTCTGTATTAGGGACAAAACAAGTGATGTCCAACTGAATCACTGTCTGTAACTCAGGTCCCTTCTCTCATCAGCTCTCAAATGTGTGACTTCTCCAGTTGTTCCAAACTTCCTAAAGGGATGTAAAACCATATCTTCAGAGATGAATTTCTATATAATGACTGGCTTTTATTTAAATGTCCATGGAATAAAACCTGTGCCTGGTCTTTAAAAATGCATGATTACCTAGGACGTTAAAATTCCATCTAAAAATTATTTTACCTTAAGATAGAAAATCCAGTAAAATAAAATGCTTTCACCACCCCCCGCCCCCCTCCCTGCCTCCGTAAACGGAAAAAGAGTTCATTTAGTCCAGCGGTTCTCAACCTGTGGGTCGCAACCCCTTTGGCGGTCGAACGACCCTTTCACAGGGGTCGCCTAAGACCATCCTGCATATCAGATATTTACATGACGATTCATAACAGTAGCAACATGACACTTATAAGTAGCAACGAAAATAATTTTATGGTTGGGTCACATAAAACTGTATTTAAAGGAACTGTATTTAAAGGGCCAGAAGGTTGAGAACCACTGAGTTAGTCTCTAACTGGTAAAAAGATGATTTATATTTCTGACTGCTTTCTCTGGAAGCGAAGTTCAGCAAATGCTTCTGGGTGATGATAGCTGACAGTCCAGGAGACTGAGAGTCGGGTGATAGCGCAGTGAGCACCGTGGCTGGTGAAGAACTGGAACCCATAGTCCCTGGGCTGCTCACAATACTCATAAAACCTGTCCAAGATGGGAGCGTGAATCCAGGGTCCCCCCCAGTTTTAGTAATAAGAGCTCCATTCAGCTCCCCCACTAACTTCCAAAAGCAGCTGTTTTCCCTGGAACTAGATAACATGGGCCATAGAGGAAGTAAGTAGCTGGTTATGTCTCCAGCTCCTTTCCTAATTAGTGCACTCGAGTGAAATCATTGCTGAGACCAACTGGTAAGTCGAGGTGTATGAGAGCACCCTGCATTGTTCTCTAAGCTTTCCGGTTGTTTGAAATTATATCAAAATATAAGGAAAAAAAGTTACCACTGATACTCTGAGGGCTCATGAAGGAGGGATTTAAAGACTGTTGGAAGTATAGCATTCTCATAATGAGAGAAAATCTCAAAGAAATCTGAAAACTGGTTGAATCTAATTCATGTTCTCATTCAAAGCTAAGGTGGTAAGATGTGGTGACATGCCAATTGAACAACATTACGTGTTGGGACTATTTATTCTCCACAACAAAGGCTGCAAGCATCACCTTTACCTCCTGGAAATATAAAGACCAACAAATAAAATGTTCAAAATGCTTTTCAGGGACAAAGTGGGTCAAAAGTCTTTCTTCAATTATTACAACAGATAGAGAATACTTCCTGTCCTTTTAGTTAGTAAATACTCAAAGATAGCTGAATGTTTTACATTTTAGAGGGATGGTGTGAAAGGACTTCTTTGCAAGTCCTTGGTTTTTCTTTTCTTTTATTATGTACTAGAGGCCTGGTGCATGAAATTCATGCACTCCCGGGGAGGGGGGTTCTCTCAGCCCGGCCTGCACCCTCTCACAGTCCAGGATCCCTTGGGGGATGTCTGACTGCACTGCCGGGGAGGCAGGAGAGGCTCCCGCCACCACTGCTGCACTCACCAGCCAGCAGCACTCCCCCTGTGGGAGCACAATGACCACGAAGGGCAGTTCCTGCGTTGAGCATCTTCCCCCCTGGTGGTCAGTGTTCATCAGAGCAACCGGTCATTCCACCATTTGGTTGATTTGCATATTAGCCTTTTATTAGATAGGATTAGTTTCACGTGTACAGATTATATAGTTGACATAGTGTTCCCCTCGATAGTGTACCCCAACTGGAAGCATACATAGTTATCATATTATTGACTATATTCCTTATGCCATATTACTTCCCTGTGACTTTTTTGTAACTACCAATTCGTGTTTTTTAGTTCCTTTACCTCTTTCACTAGAGCCGTCCAACTCCCCTTCCCTCCGGCAACCAGCAGTCTGTTCTCTATCTATGAGTCTATTTCCATTCTGTTTGCTCGTTTATTTTGTTCTTTAAATTCCACCTGGAAGTGAAATCATATGTTCTTTGTATTTAGTTTTTCCAGCAGATATTTTATCTGCCACGGTCTCCAGGAAACTTCATTCGTTGGTAGATCCGTTTACTTTGTGACTTTATAAATGAGCTTGCCGTGAGTCATTGAGCTTAGAAGCAGACTTCACTGTATTGCTGTGTCGCACAGTTCCAGTTTGAAATTCCCACCTGGGGTCGGCTCACCCAGAAGGTCGCTCACACGGCAGTGGATGTGATGCCACCCTCTTTACTGGCACCTGAGTCACCTCGGTTCTGCTCAGCCCAGTGTCCTCTGCCTGCTCCGTGGCCCTTGAAGCTCTGCTAGGGCAGGACCATGTATTTATCTTTGCACCATCCAGCGTTTTGCATAGGACATGATAAGCAATCTGCCTCTATTCACTCTGTGCTGATGAATTACTGTGAACGCAGTGTTTCATGAGCTAGAAAGGGCTTTAGAAATATAAAGTACTTTAACATAATTATCCAGTAGAGAGAGACACAGCTCCTGTCTTGGAATTTAACATCTTGGCGGTATTATATCATCTTAGGACATAGTGCTTGCTTGGGCTTTCGAAGATGTTTATAAGTTGATTTCAAACAAATAAAAATATTCTCCTTCGTCCTGGAAACTGAGCTCCCAAAGGAAACCCTGCTCTGAAAGACCAGCTCAGACTGTCCCCTTTGGGGTCCGCGGCTGAGTGAGAGTGGTTCTCTCCAGACACCTGTGGTCACACCTGGAGCCACCGCGGGCCTCCTGTGTGTTTCTCTGTCTGCACCCTCCACGTGGCTGCTGCTACCCACTGGGAGCAGGTTTCTCACTTCGCTAGCTTCTTTCCTTCCCTGTTTCCACTCTCCAGGAACTGAGCTGAAAAGGACATTAGCAGATTCGTGTGAGTGGCTGCTCTGGAGTGAGTGGGCATGGGCTGAAAATGAGCGTTTCTCAGGCATGGCCAAGTGCCTGCTGGGGAAGTGTGTTCTTGAGCCAGGGGAGTGTGGGAATTTCTACTCTAAGGGGGATAAAGAACGCCTTTGCAGCTTGTACACTCGTCAGCTCGCATTGAGAAAACTTAAGTGGGGGAGAGATTAACCAGCGAACTTCTACGCATACGTTCATAGCCCGTGGACAGACAGCGCTGCGGAGAAGGCCTGGGAGGGGGCGGGAGTGAGGTGGAGGGGCCCATTGGGGGGGGGGAATGGGGCATCTGTAATATTTCAGCAATAAAGATGCATTTGAAAAAAGAAAAATGTGGCAGTAAATAAGTTCCTAAAAAAATTTGAAAAGGAAAGAGAAAAGCCTTTCTTTGTAATAATAAAAGCAATTCTTTAGGTGTTAGTGGCTTGAAGTGAACAACAGAGACACTGATCTGAGGAAACATTGCTTTTGGCAAAGGAGCATGTCGTATTACCTGGATGGCGGGAACTCCTTACACCCACAGCTCTTCCCCAGTTGAAGAGTATTTTGTGTGTCTCTCTGAAGATTGCCGTGGGCTCTCGTAGTGACATGGATGAGATGTGACTCCTTAAAGGGCCCTTGGTTCTTTTTCACACACCGCAGAGCTGGGTCAGTGCTAGGTTCCTGCCAGCTCTGACATGTGGGACTTTTGCAAGCATCTTTTAATCAGGGTTTCCTTTCTTTAGTCACTTATTTTTTTTGCTTCAAACCTAATGTATTATTCTTTGGAGATGCAGTGCATATGGTTGAATACTTCAGACCATGATCTTAGTAGCAAATAACCCCCCTCCCCCAATGTAAGCATAGAATCTATCAATGACATTGCATAGGGGGACAACAAAAGACTGACTCATTTGAGTCTACTTTAGCAAGATGGAGGCAGGGTTCTGGGGTAAGTTTATATTCTAAAAGCTTTATAGCATCTATTTATGTCATGTATCTCAATATAGAATTCAACATGAAGCTATTACTGTCCATTTAATCTTTTGATTTATTATGATACACACACACACACACACACACACACACACACACGCCCATGGTGTTAATAAATGATGTTGCCAAGTCAGCATGAGGCAGTGCTCTTATTTTTGTCCCCCATTCGCCACCGGTGCTGGCCTTCTGGACAGCTGCCCCCTCCCCAGTGGAGCCCTAGCTGATGACGACTGTCTGAATACTTCACATTGTTCACGAGAGGCCCGCCCCCAAGGGCCTCCATCCACTGACCCGCAGCCTGTTCTCAGATACCGCCTGCCTTCTCCCCGAGGCTTTCCCCGACCATCCCCTCGCCTCCCTCCCTCCTGTGAACTCTCTCTAGCCATTTCGACCTTTCTCCCGACACTGACAGACACTGGCTATTCTTACGGAGCCAGGATGGAAAGGGAACGAACACTTTCTGCTTTGATTTTCTGGACCTCAGAAATGACCTCGTTGTGTCACCCCTTCTTCCCCTTCCAGATAACCAAGCTGAAAATAGACAGCAACCCCTTTGCCAAAGGATTTCGGGACTCCTCCAGGCTCACTGACATCGAGAGGTAATGAGAATTTTCTGTTTACTTTCTTTGTCCAGATTAGATAAAGAGAAGAGCAAGCCCGTCCGGGCACACTCCTTTCAACGCCAGAGAGCCATGACCTCCCTGGACACCTCTCCCAGTCTCTGTCCCCTTCCCCTCCAGCCATGAGCCTTAGATACGGGAGTGTTTAAGCTGTGACAGCTGCGCAGCCGCATCTCCCCTGTGCTCAGCTTCTCCGTGAAGTGGTTCCTATGGTCGGGACATCATTCAGCTGTAAAAACAGGGCGTTGTTATCAAAGTCGCAGTCCCCTAGGTGCCGTTAAGCTCCACGTCTCGAGGGGCATCTGCGGAGAAATGGAATCTTGATACCCCTGAACTGGGTGTATATTTGGTAATACCGAGAATGCAAGGGTAGTTTGGGATTTTGAAAAAAGGGAGATGCCATTTGATTCAAGGCACACCTTTCACCCAGAGCTTGGACTGCTGCTATTTCATAGGAGAGCTGTCAGATCTCAGGACCTTTAAGACGACAGGTGACAATCATGTGCCTGGAACTCACCCCGCTTGTACCTTAATTCAAATGGTTCGCACAGTGAGACCATCTATGTGATCAGTAATGACGACACTGAGATCCATGGTTTGCTCAACAGGAATGTCAAAAAAAAGGGTTTTTCAGAGAGAAGATTCTTTAACCTGATTGTTTATATCTCTTATACTGTGTAACTTTCTGTACTGTGTGTGTGTGTGTGTGTGTGTGTGTGTGAGTGAACACTTAAGTTCTACTCTATGAACAAATTTTAGTTACGCAATAGTGTCATCAGCTCTAATCACCATGTTATACTTGAGATGTCAGACCCTCCTCATCTCCTGTGCTTGTTCTTTTATGTGGCCTGAAGTCTGTATTGACAGGTGGGGTACTGTACTCTCTGTTTTATTTTATCTCCAAATCTTGGTGTGATTTTCCTACCAACTCCTACACTTTGCCACACTCTTCATTATCCACCAGGGTCACCTCTTCTGACCTTAGCACTTCTTCCTAACCTGTGTTGGCAACTCAAATTAAAGGATAATTACATGTTTTAGCAACACCTGTCTGATCCTTCACTCAGCCTTCCAAATGGCAGATCATAGAGGGGTGGTTTTAATTTGGGGGAGCAGACATGGAGGCTCAGTGGGGAGGCAGAGAAGCCAGTAGGAGAGGCTGAAAGTGGGCAGCAACCGTGGGATTTGGGTAGGAAAAAAGATCCATTAGTTCAGTGGTTCTCAACCTTCCTGATGCCGCGACCCTTTAATACAGTTCCTCATGTTGTGGTGACCCCAACCATAAAATTATTTTCATTGCTACTTCATAACTGTAATTTTGCTACTGTTATGAATCGTCATGTAAATATCTGATATGCAGGATGTATTTAGGCAACCCCTGTGAAAGGGTCGTTCGACCCCCAAAGGGGTTGCGACCCACAGGTTGAGAACCACTGCATTAGTTGGAGAGTTTGAAGAGTGGCTGGGGGAGTTGAGATCAGAGAAAGAAGCTGGAGCTTGCGGTGGAAGATCCATTGCGAAGGCAGAAAAGGCAGTGGGCGACCTTCCGGTTAGTTGGGACGTAGGCGGGACTTAGGCCTTGAGACCCACCTCAGTGAGAGTGTGGTAGCAGCAGTGTGGGTAACCAGTGAGTCCGTGGACAAGGGCTACTCAGGAGGTGTGACCCTTTGAATCTATTTCTGGAGGGCCGTAGGCGCCGGTTCAGATTGGGATTCTGTAGGTGCCATTGTAATCAGTGAACCTTCCTCAGGGTTAGTCTGGGGTCAAGCAAGAATGAAGACGGTGGCCCAGTGGGGGCGGTAGTGATGTGTTTTCACAGCGTAGGCCGTACTGTCTGTCTCAGATCAAGGGCGAACATGGTGAATTGGGAGACAGAGTCGTGGGTTAGAGTCCCAGCTCTGCCTCTGGCTGCCTGGGGGGTCCCGGAGAAGTCACCTGACCTCCGAGTCCGTTGTCCTCATCTAGAAAACAGAAAAGCACCCTGCGGCTCCACAGGTTTCTCATGAGAAACTAGGAAAGTGACGTTTGTGAAAGCAGCTTAGAAATGCGGGTTTCCTATCTTAGTGGATGAGCATGGTTTTTGCCCATCCAAGTCTCCTTCCAATGGTCTTAATAAACTGCTCCGGGAGTCAGCATAGCCCTCGGCCGCACACGTGCTCGTGAGATGGGAGTGTCCAGACCGCCTGCCCCTTAGAACGACAGACTGGCTGATGCCGGCAACAGGCTTTCCCCTTCCTGAAGCAGCAGCCTGACCTCAGGGCGCTCAGTAGCGCTTGGTGGTCTGAAGGCTGTGAGAGCAGCTGGAGTGACTTAGCTGGAAATGTGCAAGAGAGCCCAAGTTGTGTGAAATCGGCCAAGGTTTTGGATTTCATTTCCAAGTATTTTAAGTCTGAATTTTCCCTAAACAGCCTTTGGGGATGGGACAAATCAGATCAATTGATCTTTAGAGACCTAAAGGAATTAAATTAGTCTGGAGTCAGTTACTGCACTAAACCACCTAGTAATTGAATTGCTCCTTGTAACTGATTGAAAACAGCCCCATCTGTCACAGCTCAGGGAACTTTTCTCTAGAAGGGATCTGAGAGAAAAATACACTTTTTTATGACACGATGACAGAATTGGCACTTTTCTAACCTAATTGAATATGATGCTGGGAGTATGTGACCTCAATGATTTCCAGTTTCCTGTCCCAGATTTACAACTGCCGTGGGACACCCAAACAAACACTCCTGTGCGGGTGTTTCCCTTACACCGCCAGGCTCATCGTTTTGAGCTTCAGTCCCTCTACAACTGCATGAGCTTTTGGGGTGCTCTAAAGCAGCGGCCGCCAACCTTTCGGACCTCACAGACCACCGGTTGGCGACCGCTGCTCTAAAAGGCGTTGGGTTTTCTTCATCTTATTTGACGAGGTTCAGTTCGGATACTGAATGTCTCACATACTTCACGTGTCGCCTTACTCTCAGACAGCACCTCCCTCATCTGTTCTACAACTGCATGAGCTTTTGGGGTGCTCTAATGCAGTGGCCGCCAACCTTTCGGACCTCACAGGCCACCGGTTGGCGACCGCTGCTCTAAAAGGCGTTGGGTTTTCTTCATCTTATTTGACGAGGTTCAGTTCGGATACTGAATGTCTCACATACTTCACGTGTCGCCTTACTCTCAGACAGCACCTCCCTCATCTGTAAAAAGAAATCCGCCTTGTTCGCCAGAGTAGAAAGTATTTTCATTAGGTGCTTTGCACAAATACCTACAATGGACAGCTAAGAAGCAAACCAAACGCCCAAAGAGAATTCTTAAAATAATGTAATTGACAGTTATTTTACTTCAGGGAAAGAAGTATCTGATGATCCCATAAAATAAATAACCTATAGACAGTCTGTTGGCATCTTCTTTTTTCTTTTTTTTTTGGCGGAGGGAAGGGGGAAAGGACACTTCTGTGCTAAGAGTGTTTTGTTTTGTTTTTGGCGGGGGTGGGGCGAGTGGACTTGCTTTGGAAAATAGAATTTTTCATTAGAAATCTGCCCAGTTTAGTTTGTAAAATGCCATTGGTTCCTATATGTCTTTGGCATCCTGCCATTTTACTCAACTTAAAAATACTACTTTTAATAAGTTTTTCTTTTAGTCTCTTGAGTTTTCCAGTTAGATTGCTATATCATTTATAAAAATGATAATTTTATATTTTTCTTTCTAATTATACTTTTTAAAATGTCTTTTTCTTGTTTTATTGCACTGACTAAAATTTCCAGGACACTATTGAAAAGTAATGATAATAGCATTTTTTCTTGTTTTTGACTTATTTAGTCATGCCTCTGGTATTTTCTCATAACATATGATTTTCATTGGTTTCAGATGGGTATCTTTATATTGAGGTAATGCCCTACTGTGCCTAAATTAAGAATTTTATGTTATCTTGAATGTTACTTGGAGTTACATCAAATGCTCTTTTAATATCTAATGAGACTATTTTAATTACTTTTGTACTTTTAAATAACAGTATAATTAATTATAGTTATATTGTCTACGTTGAGCCATTCTTATGTTGCTGGAATAAATCCTGCCTGGATTGTATCTCTTTTTCTTATAGTACATTTCTAGCTTTATTCTATTGATTTTGTTAAGACTTTTTATGTCACTCTTCATAACAGATTTGACTTTGTCTCTTCTTGCCTTCTCTGTTAGATTTTGGTATCTGGTTTCTGCTAATCTGTTCAGATGAGCTGAAATACATTTTCCTTCTTTTTGTTGTCTGGACCAGTTTAAATAGCAAAGATGTGATCCTTTACCTGAAGGTTTTACAATCTTGCTCATAAATTCATCTGGGTGCAGTATTTTGACGAATACTTCTTTACTTTCTTATTTTATCCCACAGTTTATCAAATATATATTTAACTTCTATCCCACTTAATGCTTTTTGTCTTAATTCTACTTTGTCTAAATCTTATATTGCTATATTTACAAAATGTTTGCTTTCTTTCACTTGCTTTTTAATTTTTAAAAATTTTTTGTCACTACTTCCTTCTCTTTTGCATTATCAAATATCCTGATGTTTCTTTCATTAAGGAAAAACAACTTTCTCTCGATCCCATTTGATCCAGCTTTTGCTCCTTCTTACAGTAAAGCTCCTTAAAAAGAGTTGTGTGTGTTCTCTTCTCCAATCCCTCTCTCCCCTTTATCTCTTCTACCTTGCCGTTTAGACTTCCATCCCCATAACTCCCCCAGTCCACCCTTGTCCAGGTCACCATGGCCTCCCCATTGCTAAATCCAGTGGTCAGTTCTTGGTCCTCATGTTACTTGACCTATCATCTAGGTCTGACACAGTTGTCCATTTTCTCCCTCTTTTCTTTTGGCTCCCAAGACTGCCCCACTCTGCTGGTTTTTATTCTACCTCATTGGCTGTCTTTCTCTCTCCCCCTGGTTAGCTCTTCCTCTTGTCCTCCACCTGTTTACAGTGATGTGTGCCAGGCCTCAGTCCTTGGACC